CGAGAGAGAGAAGGAGAACGAGAGAGAGAAGGAGAACGAGAGAGAGAGAGGGAGAACGAGAGAGAGAGAGAAGGAGAACGAGAGAGAGAGAGAGAGAGAGAGAGAGAGAGAGAGAGAGAGAGAGAGAGAGAGAGAGACAAAAGAGAAGCGTACAATTCTAGATCCAAGGACTCGAACGCCTGTGCTGCCTTCGTCATCACCTAACCTAACCTAACCTAAAATTATCATGATTGTATACTTTGGTAGTCAGGTATGGTTAGGTAATTATCTCAGCAAACGAGAAGCAAAAAGATCATTTGTGTTACATAATTACTTCTCAGATTACATTAATAGCAAAATAATCATGATGTCATTATAAAAAAGATTCTCTTAAATTTTAATTATGTTGGAATAAATTAACAGAAATTCACGTCAAAATCCGTATTAATTCTGCTTTTAAAAATAACCTGTAATTTAACTTTCTAATTAATAAAACTAATGACGTCATCTCACATTACCATGAGTCGAAATTAATGATATAATGAATAGGTAATTACTATAACAGTATAGAGGAACAACCATTACTGTTATGTATTGATAAAAACACCATCACAAAATAACTGTAATTGATGACCCATGATTGGTGGTGATGGGATCAACCTAATTACAGCTACAGTCATTATCCATAAACTACCAACATGATGGATAATTAGCCTATTGTTCTGTTTTTATTAATTTTGGTGATAATAAAAAAATATATATAAAAGTTGGAGAATATTGAGAGCACCGATACATTTAGTCACAGAGGACGAGGTATACTATTCATTATAAGTTCTACATTATATATCTACAGTAATTAAACAAATAATACTAATAATGATGGCACTGTACTGTAGGTTGTTTTCACGGATCACTGGCACCTTCATTATATTTTTTACGTGATTATTTCTGTCACTCAGGCGGTCTATACACACCTCTACAGGATATACAGCATTCTACAGCAGCACACTATCAGATGCTACAGCCTTCCTTCTCCTCATTATACAGGCATATATATGTATGATTTTTTCTTGATAAATGCATTTTAAGCAATTTTGTCTCGAAATTAGGCTTATTATTATTATTATTATTATTATTATTATTATTATTATTATTATTATTATATTTATTTATTTGATGAGATCACAATATGCCTTTGTTAGTTCAGGAATGGTATTTCACTTGGGGCTGCTAGTTTTTTGTCTTCAGTATCGTCTCCCCATCCTGGTGGAGAGGGCACTGCTGGCTGGACTCTGGTGGGTGGTACAGATGCCTCACTGATAAGCCACCCTCATAATACGCTGCAGGAGTACAAGAGGTGTATGACGACATGGAACCTTCTCCAGTATAAAAAAAAATGAAGTGAAAGAGTAAAGTTGTACGTCTGTGATATTCTTCTTAAGGGAAATATTTACAGAGAAGCTCTTTGCTTGGTTCGTTGACTCCAAGATGGTCGCGTGCCTCGTTATACATGAGTAGCGAGTTGTTGTAGGCGCTGGAATTGTTGGAATGTTGTATCGAGAGAACGAAATGTATTCTCTGCCACAAAGAGAAAGATCTGAGTAGTTTGTGAACGCGATTTACGAGTTTACCAGGAATTCTTTTCTCTTTAGTTGACCAGGCTTGAAATTGTGTCGCGTCCAGTGAATGTGTGGCAATGGGACAGACCACCACTTATGTTTGTTTTTCAGGACTAATTCAAACAGTGTTGATGTGTTAGCAAAACCTTTTGCCTAAAAGATGTAAAGTCAAGATATCAAATGAACGACGAGAATTATAAGCAAAGATAACCATGCCTACTAGACCGTTCTTTGGGCTCCTTAACTACAGAACTACCTAAGTTAACAACACCTACCAATTACATTATAAAAAAAATAATAAATAAATCTGTTTGGTATTTAGAGATATATTCAGACGAAACCAAACCAGTTATGGATGAAAAGGCAGAAGGAGAGAGACTGAACGGAATAAATTTTTCATCTCCCAGAACTTTTCTATGAGGGGAAAAAAGTAAATTATCAGATGAGTGAAATATGATGATGATGATGATGTCTGAGGTAAAAAAAACCCAAGACATATCTCTAAACGACGTCACTTCCCTGGTTAGAATTATGTCATGTCTGTTATCACCCCCTCCCACCTCCGAGCTCTTAGAAGGCTCCTCCAAGGTTTCCAAAGACTCTATCCACGCCTCCAAAAGTTATCGCAATTACACGAAAGGTCGACCATGAATAAAGACCACAGACAGACTCACAGACACACCAAAGACTCGTTCTGGGTGTCATTAAAAGCAAAAATCCCACAGATAATTTGCAGGTATATGAACTAAGAAAAACTGAAAAGGTGAATTATAAAAACGTATTAAATTTTTTACAGAGGACAGGATGGATTAAAAAAGTAGGAGAATGTATGAGGTGAGGGAGAATGGAGTGAGGAGAGAGAGAATGAAGTGAGGGGAGAGAGAATGGAGTGAGGAGAGAGAGAATGGAGTGAGGAGAGAGAGAATGGAGTGAGGGGAGAGAGAATGGAGTGAGGAGAGAGAGAATGGAATGACGAGAGAGAGAGAGAGAGAGAGAGAGAGAGAGAGAGAGAGAGAGAGAGAGAGAGAGAGGAGAGAGGAGAGAGAGAATAGAGTGAGGAGAGAGAGAATGGAGTAACAGGAGAGAAAATGGAGTAGAGACAGAAGGAACCTGAATAAAACTCCTGCACCAGTATATCACATCAAGATTTAGTGGTCCAGTTTTTACTCTTCGTTTTCCTTTACTTTTTTTTGGTTATAGTAAAGAATTTGGATAACTTTTCTCCTAGAGGATCCCGTAAGATGATGATGATGATGATGGCGCCGCTGAACCAGTGAAGGGAAGCATCCGACCAGAGAGAGAGAGAGAGAGAGAACAACAGAAATGGAGAGAAAAACAGAAAAACAGAGAGAAAATAGAAGAGAAAAGGGAGAACAAGAAATACAGAGAGAGAGAGAGAGAGAGAGAGAGAGAGAGAGAGAGAGAGAGAGAGAGATCCTTCCCAAGAACATTGAAGAAAATGAACTACGGTACATACACCAAGGTCTGGCCAAAGGTTCCAACCCTCGTCACCCAGCGTTCTTTATTCTCGCCTTGTGACCGTAAAAGCAATAAAGCAATAATAAAATCAGGAACTCAAAGGGCGACACACAGACCATTTGGTTCCACCTACTGCCGGGTGTGGGGTACCTGGTATAGCCACCTCTCTCGGCACCAACACACATACTGAGCTTACATCTACACTACTACCACCACTGTCGCCCTCACCACTACCACCATAACTGCTGCTTCATCACTACCATCACTCCCGTCTCATCACCACAACCATCACCTCCTCAGCACCACCATCACCTCCTCTGCACCACCATCACACGGTCTCACCACTACCACTATAACTGCTGCTTCATCACTACCATCACTCCCGTCTCATCACCACAACCATCACCTCCTCAGCACCACCATCACCTCCTCAGCACTTTCATCACACGTCCTCACCACTACCACCATTATCACCACCCATCCCGACGCACCTACTCTACATATACAGTTAATATGTATACCGTATATATTTTTGTGTATAATGCATTAAAGACGGAATTATATATATATAGTAATAGAATATGATAATATTACTCCTGACGTGGTGTAATCTGTGTAGCTGTACTCTCTCAACCAAACAAGGAACTGGCATTTTACTTCACTCTGGCAGGGGAGGAAGAGAGAGGCAGGGGGAGGCAGTGGAAGGCTGAGGGAGGCAGTGGGAGGCAGAGGGAGGCTGAGGGAGGCAGTGGGAGGCAGAGGGAGGCAGTGGGAGGCTGAGGGAGGCAGTGGGAGGCCAATAAGTGTGGTCTTACCTTCCCTTTCTATACCCGTGAGTCCTACCCAGCCTTAAGCTAACTGTAAATAAAAAAATTCGAGAACTTCTACCATTATGTAGTATGAATGGCCAACAAATACCTCCGTCAGGGAAATAAACAGATAGTATACCTGCAGTCCCTGTGTCAGTCTTCTCTTGTACCATAATAAATCATTTTTTTTTATCCTACATGACCGGTAAGTTAACCACCAAGGGAAGAGGAAACCAAGAAACAGTATAATGAACTCAAGTGAATACCATACAAGGACAGGGAACTATTGTAGAAAAAAGGTAAGGGAAAAATATTGTCTTTAGTTTGGATAGGCGAGTATTGGGCTACCTAACGCAACCACACAAAATTATTTCTTTGATACAACTGTAAATATACTTAACCTAACCTAACCGATATCTTTAAGGTCAAGGACAATAATGATGTGGTTATTATCTATCTGATTATTGGGCTTAAAAAAACAGCATAATTTTCGACTCTTAGGAAAGAAATTTGATAGTGAATCTGAATTAACGTTAACAGGACAAGAATTTAATAACATACTATAAAATAAAATGTTCCTTTGAGCATCTGCTCCCCACAGTGAAATCTTTTTTGTTTCTTCTCAGAACACTTGTGTCGTCTTGACCTACTGACTGATTGTTGTGAATTGGATGGTTTGTATATCAGTTGATAAATAATCGACTGGTAAACACCGGCACGAGTCACATCTTGTTATAAGAGTACAATTTCTTATTGCGTTTTATGGCAGAACAAGACGTAATAGTTCAGCTTCAGGAGGACTTGGCCCCTGGATATCCCGACGGGGGTCACGGGATGCCTAATTTTGTTCCGCGGATCTACTACCCCGTATCCTCAATTCCTCCAGCACCCTCTGCCTTAGGGGGCGAGGTGGAAACTATACTTAAAGATGTTTATACATTTGTTGCTGTCTACTACGTCACAAACATCAAGTAATTATGTCGTTAAATCCAAAGAATTAAGTAAAAGGTATGGGGCGCCTCCACACCACCGCAATGATCCACCACACACACTGGGTCGACATCTCTTGGGCCAAAAACATCAACACTCAACTCAAGTAACAATTGACACTTACTTTGAGGTCCATTGGGATAAGCTTCTACCACCTCCTCCAGCCGTGAGACTTGTTCCTGTGGTGACACGCCCTCGGGTCGCCCATCACCGTCTTTTCTACGCTTCTGTTCACTTTTCTTATCTGTCAAAACACACACCAATGAATCTTCACGATGATAAGGAATAACACAGTAATGAATGCGTACCAGTATCACAAGGTAATCTCAGCAACTATTAAATCTAAAGTAAAAAATATTAACTTAGACCATTTAATATTATCCCACGCCCTTGGAGACACGAGAAGCTTCTTATGTCTCTATCGAGTCCTTTACTAATGTGATATCTCATTAATTTCCTTTCATTTTGGACACTTAGCGCTGCTCTGTAAACATTATCACATATCATTATTATATTTCTCTACAAACGTGATTCTCTTTTTTATTCATAAGTTTATTTTGGGTAAGACAGGAGGTCGTCATCTACTTGGGCCTTGACACTGGCGCACCATCCCCCCCCTCACCCCTTCTTCAGGTAGTCCAGGGGCGCAGGGCTGGGGGAACGACTTCACTTTCCTGCGCTCAGTCAACAAAAAAAGAAGAGTGTGTTTGCTTATGATTCCAAGGACTCTTCATCATAGCGAGAAAATGCTTGAAAAAGTGAAAAGAAAAAAAGAAATACGTTTATGTTCTTCATATTCTGCAAGACGTCATATTAACCCCTCCGGTTGTTCCTGCAGTAGTAACTAGGTATTCGTGTTTCTCTTATCCATAGTATTGTGTTATATCCAAGTCCCTTGATTATCACTTCGACTTTTAACCTAAAAATCGTAAAAAATATATATATATATTTACTGACCCAGACTGGTATAGCGCGTATGACCTGAACAGTCATTCAATTCTTTATCTGTCCTGATGACGTAGTCCACTTCAAGGAACTTTGAGTCAATATAAATCGAGTATTTCTAGACCTCCCACCCCACCCCTCGCGTCCTCAAAAACCGAACTAATCATAAAATAAATAGTTTAAACATAACACCAGAGCCATTCAGAGCACAATGTTGACTACTTCATAAGACATTCTAACAGTTCCTACCACACGTTATCCCACAAGTACTCCGCCCACTTACTGTTGGTCATGATGATGGTGTAGCTGTAGGCGTCATACTCGGTGCTGTTCTTGTTCCTGTACACTCGGTGATGGTGACGACGATTGTTGTTCTCTCCTGTAGAGTAGATCGTCTTGACTTCCACATCCTCGTCATGTCTTGTGGGCGATCTTCCTCTCTGGTGACCATGATGACGACGATGGCCGTGATTACGTGAGCGGTGGCGACGACGGCTGCCTTGCTTGGGGACGTTAGTACGGAAGGGCCGCCTGTGACGATGATTCCGGCGACGGTGAGTGACGGTGGGTTGACTGACGCCCTCTCTGGTGTCTGGTGAGGGTGAAGGCTCCTGTGGGTGTGTAGGGAGGACCAAATCTCCTGCACTGGAGGCGTCCTGTACGGATGGGTCGTCGTTGGCATAGTCATGAGTCTTCCTTTTAACATTACCCTCCTCTCGGTGTGGCGGAAGGTAGGAAAGAGCAGACAGATCATCGATGGTTGAATTCTCCATCGGGCCATAGACCAACTTGTACAACTGGTATAGTTCACCTTTGTAGACTGAATTGTTATTTTTTCCTTGAGTGCCGTTGACCAAGTGATAAACCTGACCCTCGTGACTTATCTCTCGACCACCATCTTCCGGAGGATCTTCCAGTCTGATAAAACATCCTTCGGGGTAGTCATTACTCCCTTCATCCTCCGTGTGACGCTTCCCTCCCTTCTTCTCGTCTGCCTCTGATGTATCCTGTGAAGGTGAGAATGGTCTTAGCACATAAGGGGAGTTCTGACAAGTACACAAGAAAATGATTTGAAAATACAAGACAAAACTCCAGTAGACGCAATTATAAAAAAAGTTCTTAATACAGCATAAATTGACAACTGTATACAGGAGTGACGTGTGTGATGTCATGCCTGGACCCATTGGTTGACGGCCACTTGAGGGAATATATATTTTTCCCCAAATGATGGTACAGCATTTTCAGTTAGTATTCGTTTAATAAATAATGATTAAAACAAAACCGGGTTAAGCAAAGAAGTGGATACAGCCCTTTCTCCCTACCCTGAGAACAGATAGTTTACGTCCACGCCACCCCAAGTCCACCCAGCTGTGAATGGGTACCCTACTTTACAATTGGGGAAGCGAGACTCCACTTTCATCTCTTCTCCTTTAACAACACTGTAAAAAGTGAGTCTGGTGTTATCCTTTAAGTACCTTTCAGTATTCAATTGAACCTCTGTGATTATTCATGAATGTTTCCATGTAAAAGTGAAAGTATATGTGTGTTAGGGACAATGCAAACACACTATACTGATGCTCTCGGCCGACTTCACTTACCCAACCTAGGAGAGGAGGAGTACTGTTGATGAACCTCCTCGGGCCAACACCTCTCTCCAACACGTTCTCTCTTAGGCTGCCACACCACTTCACTCCAGGTCTTCTCTTACCTCACTTGCCATTCATACTGTGTCCCAACTTCCCACAACACCTTGACTATCCACACTTATTCTTCCAACCACTCTTTCTTCTCTACTCTATCTATATTATCTTCCACTTCTCTCCACACATTCAAACCTTCTAAAATACTTACAAATTTCCCTTCTCTCACACAAAGAATAGTCCATATTTACTTTCTTTATGTTACTTTCACTGTCACTTTCCCTAATCTGTTTATATATCCTTTCTATTAACTCTCTCCTAATGGCTTCCTATTGTATTATTATTCTGGTTCCTGTTTAATCCTTTTCAGTACCTATTATAACCTTCCTCTTGTTACCTCACACCGCCCCCTATACCTTCCCACCATCATGTAAATCACAACCTATTTTTACCCTCTTAGAAAACACTACTTAACTTCTCTCCCCTGTTGATATATCCTACCTGTTCCCCTCAGCACCTCATCTCTCATTTCAGGTCACGTCTTTCTGATCACTCATTTCAGGTCACGTCTATCCCTCGTTCTTGACCTCCATTGGATCATTCTCTAAAATATTCGTTCACTACACTGACAGACACTTATTCAATACGTCTCTTATTACGAAATTTGCATGTAACAAGTAGTTCTTAAGTCTCCAGTTACCAGATGCATTACAGACTCTGACTTTGTCTTCGCCATAAACAATTTAAGGATGTTCTCAATTTATTCTTGGACGAGGTAAAATTGATAGAAAGACTACCATTATCAGGTAGATTTATTTATGGGTGTACTTCCTGTGTTTCCGTCTACCTCATCTACCTACAACACGGCTTTTATTGTATCTCATCTACCTACAACACGGCTTTTATTGTATCTCATCTACCTACAACACGGCTTTTATTGTATCTCATCTACCTACAACACGGCTTTTATTATATCTCATCTACCTACAGCACGGCTTTTATTGTATCTCATCTACCTACAACACGGCTTTTATTGTATCTCATCTACCTACATCACGGCTTTTATTGTATCTCATCTACCTACAACACGGCTTTTATTGTATCTCATCTACCTACAACACGGCTTTTATTGTATCTCACTGTTTATACGCACCAATGCCCCGCCTCATACCACCTCCTTCACACACACACTCTGTAACAACTCCTTTGTCCATTTTCCCCTTTCTGCTTAATTATCCGTTTATTACACCTCCCTTCAATGATTTTTCTTCCCCTTGCCCCCATTTTCTTTCTATTTAGTTGTATTCAGACTCATCACTTTAGCATCGCCCCTCATCATCCGTTGTCCCGTGTTTTATTTTTCTACCTCACCGCTTCCATTCTCCCTCTTAATTGGTCTTGCTGTGTTGTGTTCTTATTTCTTCCTCCTACGTGCCATGGAGAAATCTTTACTCGCAGCTTCAGAGTGTCTACCAGTCAGGTTGTGATTAGCTGGAGGACGTGGTGTTGTGTTTAGGGATTCTTGTAAGTTTTATGAGATAGATGGTAGGCAACACAAACCAGCCGACCTAACCTAACCTGACCTGACCTGACGTAACCTAACCTAATCTAACCCAACAAGTCTTTGGTCATGTAGTTTGCTTTAGAAGCCACATGAAGCTCCTCAACAGTGCGTGTGACAGGTTCTCTCTGGCATCTTGTTAAAACAAACAACGCTTCATGCTGCCTACTTCACTGACGCAATAGATGGGTTTTTCCACCAGACCAACATTCTGTTTATCTGCGTCATTTACACCCGCATGCACTGAGTCTGAGTTTTCCTACTGAACTTGATCACCACACACACACACACACACATACACACACACACACACACACGTACGTGGTTTTCCGATAATTGTAAAATCTGTAATTACATTATTACTTGTCAAGAACAATTGCCTTTGGAAGGTTCGAACATAAGCGAAACTCGGTCAAACATTTTCAGAATAATTTCTACAGTTATCGACTTTGGTAGCACTAAGGGTGATTGTCAGTATTATCACATTTCCAGTACACACAAACAGACAGAGACACAGTTTTGTTGAGGGAACACTTCCAAACATTTCCAGAATTCCATTAACCTCGAGTAAAGAATAAATGAACTTGGCTCTAAAAAAAATATAAAACTCTGAACTCGAGTCGACTTCAACTAATTTTTCATGGTGTAGCTTTTGTGTCCCATGAAAACACTGAAAGATTACAAGGTACATTAATTTCTTCACACTTTGCAGGACGGTCCCCCTTATGAGCACTTAACACCCACACACCGTCAATACAATCCAGATTAAACTCGCTTACTCACCTCCATTAATTACCTCACGTTTACCTGTCACCAGACCGTGATATTAAGCGTGTTTATAACCTGTTTCACCTCTTCCACACTTGGATTTTATTTTTTTGTGTTTTTTGTTTTGTTTACACATTTTCATCACCCCAGCCAGGATACTGTACCGAGTATCGTGACCTGAGATGACCCGGTGTTGATGTTGACCTTTGTGGAGGAATACGGATGAGTCTATGACCATTTACTGACCTGCATGGACCAGCCGGGACAGCAGGCGAAGACAGAATGCGTGTGGACCTCCTCTCTCTCGCGGTACACGGTGTGGTACTTGGTCCTGAGGGGGAGAGAAAAACACGGGGTCAGGACACAATGCATTTACACCTAAACAAAACACCAGAATCAAATACTTATCCTTCTAACACACACACACACATACAATACCAAAAAAAAAAACACATATTCCCTAGCCCGCAGTTGTAGGCCAGGTAACAAGAACGAAAATTACGTGTCACTGTTTGGTCAGAGGAAGAAAGCGTTATGTACTGTACTTCGATCAAAGGAATCTGATCCCTGGTGAGGTGTTGTGTGTGTGTGTGTTGACTCCAGTAACTTGTGGTGTAGAGGGAGGGAACACACACACCTCAACTCACACACGGTAATCAACATCGACGGAGTTATCCCTCTGGTGAAGGAGTAACTCTACGTCCTGTTCCATTATTACTCTCCTGAAAAGCTAATTTGATTAAGTTCTGGGGAGAGATGTTGGGTTTGTAAGCCCTAAATTAGCTTTGCTGTGCCTTTTTTAAACAGTAAAGAACAAATTAGTCTTGCTTAGTTATCCCATTACGAAGATTAAATCTAATTAAGCTTACAAATGCTAAATTATGTTTTGTATTGCATTTTAAATTGTAAAAAAAATATCAAATCAGTTTCGCTTCATTATGTCATCAGGTTTTTCAAGGTATTTTATTGGTAATGAATATATATTGCAGGTCATATTGCCACGCGCCTCTATGCACAAGGAAGCTTCTACCTCACATATGACATCACCGTAAGAGAAGGTATTCATGAGGAACCTAATTTGCGTTCGTTAAAGAAGCAGCGTCCTTCATCACTCGTAACAAGTGGTGGTGTGAGTGATGAGGAAAGGCGCCAGAGAAGATAGGAGGAGGAGGAGGAGACTGACGAAATTAGTGTTAAAGAAAAATTCAATGAAGAAAGAAGAGGAGTACGAAGGGTGGGAAGGAGAAAGAGGAGTAATGAGAAGATGGGGTGGGGAGAGGAGGGAGGAGAGAAAACTCACCTTTACATCATACACTCATCCACCTCACCACCGCCCCTCTTTGGTCTTCCCAACTTCTCCTTCCCTCCCTTCTCCCCAACGTTCCCTCCCCTTTCCCTCCTTCCCCCACTTCCTCCCCTCCCACCTCCTCTCTCCCTCAGTGATGCAACCATGAACAGAGGAGATTACATTTCTACCTCCCATCCTCTACTCGACCAGACAAGCCTCTCTCGTATAATTTCATCTCCCCAAAAACGTAAAAATTTCCTTAACATTTCTTCACCTCAAGACACATAACACTGTTTTGTTTACCCTCTCCCCCACCCCACCTTACACCATATTGCTTAGGGTACATTATACAAATTTATTATTATATTAAGGCTAAAACAATACATTCACAATAGTATAGTGATTCGTATTGTTTAGAATGATCAGAATCCTCTAATGGTGATATTTTGGGGGATTTAAAATACGCGGGTAAAAAAAAATATATATAAAAAAAATCCTGCATGTGGGCGACCCCGTACATAGACGAGAACCCTTATGGGAAGACATGCAGACGACCCTCCCTGTCCTAAAACTGACGAGGATAAAGGCGAACGCTCAAGGTCCCGGAGAGGCTGTCCGAGAGAAGTGCGACTCGTGAAGGCAAAACTTATACTCTGTCCTGCCGCTGTTGTTGAGAATCATTCACTAGGTCTCGCGCCCCACCTAGCATGAGCCTAATGAGGTGCATGGGAGGAGCAAAAGGCCTTGTTAGGGGGGATGAAGAGGTGAGGAGGACAGAAGGGTGTTGTGAAAGAGTAGGGAGTGAGAAGGGTAAAAGGGCGTGGAGAGAGAGAGGAATAAAGCGGGAAGAGAAGAAATAGAGAGGGAGAGAAAGAGGGAGACGAGTTTGAAATGGAATAGGTGTAAAGGAGAAGAAGAAAAAATGGAGGGAGTAGCTAAGGAAGGAGTTACGATAAATTGAAATGCACGAATGAGAAGTGAATGAGTGAAGGGGAGAGAGGAAGATAACTGAGAGAAATGATTTTAAAAATTCTCAGGATCAACAGAAAGAGAAGGAAAGACGGAAGAAAACCAAGAATTGAATATAAAGTTAAATGGATTTAAGACGAGAGACAGGAAGATGAAGGAAGAAATGGACGAAGGGAAGTGGAGTGGAAGGAGAGAGAGAGGAGCAGAGACGCCCGAGTGAGTGGAGGAGGAGGGAAGAGGAGGAAGGGGGGGGAGGAGGAAGAGGAGGAGGGGGTAGGTGGATGGGCGGGGTTCACGTCGGAAGGAATTGAAAAGGAGATTGAAAGGAATAATGAAGAGGAAGTAAGAGAGAGGTTTGGAAGGAAGGTGAGGAGGAAGAGGATGAGGAGAAGGATGTAACCAATAAGGGGCTAAACTACACCCCAGTCCACTCTTCCACTCCTGGTTCATAACTACTTGATCAGAGGTTAGTTTAGGGTCAAGTGTTTTACATGAACGTAAGTGAGAAAAAGAACCCACAGCTTTAGACGGTGTATAATGAGTACTTCAGGTCCTCACTGTCTTCCTTCTTAACTTAATCTCAGTCTCATGTAATCCCTCAGTGATCTCTACCCCCCCCCACCCCCCTCCTCCGTCCATCCCCCACCGCTCTATCATTCCCTGGAGTGAGTATTTATGTATTACCTCTCTTATGTCCTGGAAAGCTAAAAAAAATCATGTCGTCATACCACACAGGTCATCATTATGTACCGAGTATACCATTACATTTTCTTTTCTTACTCTTGGTTCAGTATTATAGGTCCTTGTTATATACTAATTGTATCTCAGAACATTTCTTAGTTTTAGCTGAATTCTGTGGTTGGCTTCTGTCCAGGGATCTCATCGGCCTCTTCCTCCTCCTTCCCTCCACACACACACACACACACACACACACGCGCGGATGTTTGTCGTCAACCTCCCCCTGTGACCTTTGTTGACCTTGTGTTGACCTTTCTTATACTTATTACATCACCTAACTCTTACCACTAATGCATCTTTTGTTAATTTAATACGCGGTATATTAATAAATTCTTGGGTGTAATTATAAACAAGGGGCTAAGGTCTCAGGTCGTTTTAGAGACGAAACCGAACAAAATTCACTAAAGTATAAAGGGAGAACAAAAATTATTTACGAATTCGTCCCAGAACTTCATTGCTTACATCCACACGCTAGAGTTTTATCGAATTCGTCAAATACATTGTTGAGTTATCGTGATCACAAGACGCCGGCACGGAGGAAGGTATAATACTTCCAGGTCCTCCACCGTCGCTGGCTGCCGTGACGACGTTCATTTATATAAGTTAGAGTGCACTGGGGGTGGGGAGGGAGGGGAAGGTGATGGGTGGGGGAGTGGGGAGGGAGGTGGGGAGATGGGGTGGGGAGATGGGGTGGGGGATGGGGAGGTGGGAGAGATGGGGAGGGTGGGGGAGATGGGGAGGGGTGGGGAGATGGGGAGGGTGGGGGAGATGGGGAGGGGTGGGGAGTGGGAGGGGAGGGGGGGGGAGGGGGTGGGGGAGGGGAGGGGTGGGGGAGTGGGGAGGGGTGGGGGAGTGGGGAGGGGAGGTGGGAGATGGGGAGGAGTGGGGGAGTGAAGTTTTCGTGCAAAGTTGACCAAAAATATTATCTGCTCAACAGGAAGAGATTAATTTTTTCAGCATTACGTTGTTGCCTTCAGGTTACTCTTCGTAAACCTACACTGATGTGTGTGTGTACGTTACGGGGCCCCGTTTGTGAAATCGCCTGCTTTCTGAACTGGGCAACCATTTTGCTCATTTCGTGAAATGGGGGTCATAACCAAACCAAACTAAACCTAACCTAACCTGACCAAACCTAACCTGATCCAAACTAAGCTATGCTAGGTTAAGCGCCCATTAACGAACTAAAGCAATATAAGATGGTGTAAGGACTCTCACCCCTGCAAAACGCCACTCCCAGCAGGTAACCATGCAAGACCCATCACTCAGACACCCTTCCTCTGGGTCGTGGGAATTTAAAATATGCATCCTAGACTTATAGCCCCGTTACTAGTAGTGTGGGTACAGCACAGTGTATATTAAGGAGGTAATGTGTAATGGGGATGACTCGAGCACAACCAGAAACTCGTAAGAAAAGAGGCGAACGCTGTATTCACTCAGTCTGCACCACTTTTGCGGGAAATAAGTACATAACATATCACCACTGATTTCCCCAATGAACGGGAGAAAACACTGCGAGGAGCATTTTGACAGGAGTATAAATGGAATGTGAGTAATTGCAGTCATTTATAAAAGAAGATCTACGCAAGCTGTGGTAATTCTTGGGTGTTGTGTGTGAAGGGAGAGCCAAGGCGCTATGCTTCATCACCCGTTGGCTTGTGTGGCTGGCGGTATTGTGAATAAAAATGAATACCTTCTTCACGCGTTATGAGAAAGTCATAAACTGTAGAATCACATAAAAAAAGTATTAAAGTGGCCTACTTAATGACAGGCCATAAACATAACCTTAAAACTTTACGAGGTGTGAGAGGGAGACGCGCGCTGGCCAGGCTGAGCAACGAGACCTGCACAAGGACTAGCACACACAACGTACCCAGTAATGTGGCGTGTTCTCTGTAGCACAAGTTAGTTTGGAGAGTGTTGTTACGGTAGTTCAGACACACACGAAGGGTAGTAAAGTTATCTAAGGAGACGAGGAACACAACAGGTGATCTAGCTCATAGGGAAAACATAACAAACCTCCCTTATCTCAAGTACTCGTAAGGATCTAATTAAGAAGTTTAACTCTACTCTGAAACACACTTGGCTAAGGCTTTAAAAGTAGTGACACAAAGGATATTAAGACAAATGGACAAGTTCATTCTATCCGGCGTGTAAATAACATTACATCCAATCCCCAAACTGAAGACGTGTTGAGGAGATTTGATCATGGAGGTTGTTTCACACTGTTTCACTCGTCTGAGAAATAAGATTGGACTCGAACACTGGAAGGAGTAGTGTGGTACAACTCACCAGGAAAACAAAAATGAACGCTAACACAATCTATAAATTCAATAGAA